CCCCTAATTTGAGGTGTACCGTTGTATTTCCATTAATTCATGATTGACGTGGATTTCCCAGCCTTGTGTTCTGACGCGCATTCGGGGTTCAGTATTCGCGAGTCACTCTATCATCGGATGTCAATCCGGTAGAAATAACCTTCATTTGTTCATGTCCCTTTGATTTCTTTTAATAAAGGAACTGCTACTTCTGTGGTCTTTTCCTTGCGTCTCGGCTACTTGGGATACCAGCGTACAAGTGCCAGTGCGATTCAGTTTTTCCGTGGCGTCCGTGATTCGTGATTTGTGACTACTTCAACTACTAGAAGTATAGTACCAAAATGCAAACTATATTGTAGATGTTCTGAAATTGTTGGCAAATCTGAATGCTACTAACAGACAACAAAGAAAAAGGGAATTCACATCAGGAATTCAGGGAGAATTTCTAAGGGATGAAGTCAGCCGAGCTACCCACACCGCGCGTCTCAGTAATTTTCCATGATTGAATGCCAGTTAGAGAGAAAGAGAGTGTGTGTGATAGTAGGATTGTGTCAAACGGTTTGACAAGATTTTTCAGTCGTATAATAACAATAATCTAATTGGTCTTTCCAAAGAGTTGAGGTAATAACCCTACCGACAGAAGAGAGAGAGCTTACTTTCTGAATAGGAACGAGCATTGGTAAATAAAACGGAGGGTGAGGGTGGGTGGGATGGATAGATCATCAAGAGTCCGAAAATAGCAGAATCAGCCAACCAGATATGCGCACCGCTTTTCACAAACTGTTTGCTAATTTAGTAGCTTGAAACCCTGTCACTGTAACCTGACCATCCATGGTGGGAAAAATTAAACCACTTTGCATTATTTGGAAAAAATCCAGGGCTGCACACTTCCATTCTGTGTTCAGTCTTCGCAGCGATGATCACGTGATCAAGCAGAGAAGCTAAGGCTGTTCCGACCGTGAGCTTGTCTGCCAGGACATTAAAATTAATTGTGAGAACGAATGTGCATCACCCTTGCAGGAATTCTTAATGCACCTCAAAGCTGTTCTTGACTGGCAGTCACAAACGGGATATGATTGATGAACAGTTCCACTAACAATACCAGTGTGAATAAATTGATCAGAAACGATAAATCTAATCGTACCACTGCTCCCCATACTACTTATTGGTGTTGATACGGATGAA